AGGTTGAGGCAGGAAGTGGAGATTTGTGAACAACAGTATGGTTTCATGCCTAGGAAGAGTACCACAGATGCAATATTTGCCTTGAGGATGCTGATGGAGAAGTACAGAGAAGGTCAGAAGGAGCCGCACTGTGTATTTGTAGATCTAGAAAAGGCATATGACAAAGTGCCAAGGGAGGAATTGTGGTTTTGTATGAGGAAGTCAGGTGTGGCAGAGAAGTATGTTAGTTTGGTGCAGGACATGTATGAGAATAGTACAACAGTAGTGAGGTGTGCTGTTGGGAGGACAGAAGACTTCAAGGTGGAGGTGGGACTACATCAAGGATCGGCCCTGAGCCCCTTCTTGTTTGCTGTGGTGATGGACAGATTGACAGATGAGGTCAGACAGGAGTCCCCATGGACTATGATGTTTGCAGATGACATTGTGATCTGTAGTGAGAGTAGGCAGCAGCTAGAAGAGAACCTAGAGAGGTGGAGGTTTGCACTAGAAAGAAGAGGAATGAAGGTTAGTCGCAGCAAGACAGAGTACATGTGTGTAAACGAAAGGGAGAACAGAGGAGGAGGAGAGGTGGTGAAGGTGCAGGAGTTTAGGTACTTAGGATCAACTGTTCAGAGCAGCGGAGACTGTGGAAGAGAGGTGAAGAATAGAGTACAGGCAGGATGGAACAGCTGGAGAAAAGTGTCAGGAGTGATCTGTGATAGGAGAGTGTAGAAGGGAAAGGTTTACAGGACGGTGGTGAGACCAGCCATGATGTATGGTTTAGAGACAGTAGCAATAGGCAGAAGACAGGAGGTGGAGCTGGAGGTGGCAGAGTTAAAGATGCTAAGATTCTCTTTAGGAGTGACAAGAATGGACAGGATCAGGAATGAGGTCATTAGAGGGACAACACAGACAGGAAGGTTTGGAGAAAAAGCTAGAGAAGCCAGATTGAGATGGTTTGGACATGTGCAGAGGAGGGACAGTGGATACATTGGTAGAAGAATGTTAGAGATGGAGATACCAGGTAGGAGAAAGAGAGGAAGACCAAAGAGGAGATATATGGATGCAGTGAGGGAGGACATGCAGATAGTTGAAGTCGGAGTAGAAGATGCAGAGAACAGGGAGAGATGGAAATCAATGATTCACTGTGGCAACCCATGAAAAAGGGACAAAGCCGAAAGAAAAAGAAGAGGTTCTTTTCCACCTTAAACAGGGTAAAGTTTCCACTCTGCTGCCTTTGAATTAAAACATAAAATATTCTCACTCTCTTCCCTCTGTATTTTGCTGATATTATGTCAATTATGTTGGTGAAAACTATAATCAGAGATCATGGACCATCAGCTGCTCTATACATAGCTTTTGTCTGTGGAATAAAAAAGTCAACTCAAGAACACACTTCATTCGTATGAAAATTATTTCTTTGTCAACGGTAATCTTTAACAGTATGAATACATTTTCTTCAGTTAAACAAAGTATACCTCATTACAGCTCTTACTGTATTCGTCTCTGCGTTAAGCGAAAGATGTCCGCCTGTTGCATTAAGTGCCCACTTGGGGGAGCTATGGTACAAGTTGTGCCGTCGGCCCCTTCAGCGGTACTTTCTCATTTCCTACCAATTTATTTTCATTCAAACGAAGGGTGACCATGTGAAGAACATCAGATCAGTTGACAGCCTGTAAATGTGATTTAAACATTTAGGCACCATTTACCCGGATTAAGATTCAATTGAAGAACAAATGCTATTAGGTGGAAATCTTATAGTATGTGGTAAATGAAGGAGCTGAGGTTCTCTTCTTCCATTGTATGAATCCTGTTGGTCATGTTCAAGTAACACTCACTTCAGCTCTGCAGGTCTCTTTACTTATATGATTTCATTATTATATAATAATATTATTATGTTCTAATAATAATATTATTATAGTTTTACTATAGTTTATTTACTAAACCTAGATGTTGATTTGCCAAAGCAAGCGACTAAACAAACACACACACACCCATAGACCCTAATCCTGTATTAATGGACCCAATCACAGACTCTATGAATAATCAATGTCCAGCGGTCTGCAACTGCAGCGCTGAGACCTTGAGTGAAACTGAATTTTCCTAATAAGACACTCACCCACCTTGCGGCCCTAATAAGCACTAATGCGCGGTGGGCTGAGAATACGTCAAACGGTTTGTTTGGCGCAGAATTTGAAAGACAAACATGTTATTCCAGGGTGTGTGTTTGTTTGTATATATACCATATGTAGCTGTGTCCATTTGGAGAAAAACAGAACAGAAGTGAGGACTAATCTGTCCCTGTCCACTGTCCTGATTCTTCAGCTCTGCTCCCCTCAGATGA